GTGCCATAAGGCCTGGCCAGCAAGCCCCTCGCTGGGGGCCGTGCCCTGGGACGGCTATGAGCCGCGGGTGCTGCTGGCTAGGTGCTGCTGCTGGGTGGTGGGTCCCTGGGTGCCTGAGGCCTGGGCTGTGAGCGGGACTGTCCTGCGGGCTGTCGCTGCAGACGCCCCTCACCCTGTGCTGTGGGAGGGAGCCCAGAAGGGTGGTCCCCCCACACTGCTGCCTCCTGCTTGCCAAGTGTGTGCCACCTGGGATGCTCCTCAGTGGGTTCACTCTGGGCTGGGACACTCTTTGGGCAGCTGTGTCCCAAGAAAGTTTGCAGGTTAGCCAGCCCCATCTGCCCTGTGCCCCTTGGCAGGGAAACAGAGGACTAACTTCTCTCATTTCCACTCTTCCCTGCTGCCAGAGACGTGAAGCTCCCTAGAAGATGGGTGACTGGGGTTTCCTGGAGAAACTGCTGGACCAAGTCCAGGAGCACTCCACCGTGATCGGGAAGATCTGGCTGACCGTGCTCTTCATCTTCCGCATCCTCATCCTCGGCTTGGCCGGGGAGTCCGTGTGGGGGGACGAGCAGTCGGATTTTGTGTGCAACACCAAGCAGCCGGGCTGCACCAACGTCTGCTATGACAAAGCCTTCCCCATCTCCCACATCCGCTACTGGGTGCTCCAGTTCCTTTTTGTCAGCACTCCCACTTTGATTTACCTCGGCCACGTTGTCTATCTCTCCCGGCAGGAGGAGAAACTGAAGCAGCAGGAAAGTGAGCTTCGGGCCATCCATAGCAAGGACCCCAAGATAGAGCAGGCCCTGGCAGTGGTGGAAAAGAAGATGTCCAAGATCTATGTGACAGAGGATGGGCGGCTCAAGATCCGAGGGGCCCTGATGTGGACGTACATCATTAGTGTGATCTGCAAGAGCATCTTTGAGGCTGGCTTCCTCATTGGCCAGTGGTACCTCTATGGCTTTTCCATGTTGCCCCGTTATGTGTGCAAGAGGGACCCCTGCCCTCATCAGGTGGATTGCTTCATCTCCCGCCCCACTGAGAAGAGCATCTTCATCATCTTCATGCTGGTGATGGGCCTGATCTCCTTAATCCTGAACCTCCTGGAGCTCTTCCACCTCTGCTGCAAGAACCTGCTTAGCAACATCAAGAAAGTGTCGGTGCCGACCAGCCCAGGCCAGGACACCTTCGCTGACAATGTGGTCTCTGGCCCCTACCCACCCAAGCACTACCCCTTCCTCCCCATGGGCGAGAGCCATACGCCGCCCTACCAGGCCTACAACAAGCTCTCCAGTGAGCAGAACTGGGCCAACTTCAACAACGAGGAGAACCTGGCCATGAGCAGCGGCAGCAGGCCCCTATCAGACCCCTACGCCGTGAGGGCTGCTGAAGCCCTGGCTCCCGATGAGAAGCAGTGCAGCCGCCCCAGCAGCTCGGCCTCTAAAAAGCAGTATGTCTAGCGCCGGGTGCCGGCGGCGGCGGGCGAGGGGGAC